TTGGCAAAAAAGATCACGTGCATTAATGATTTTTGCAACTATGACTCGGTACAAATGGTTTGTAGCAACAATCAGGAGCTTGCAGTTAACATTGATGATGATACACATTTCAGGCACAAATGAAGTTTCAGCCTTGGTGTTTCCTGGAAAGCAGATAAAGATGTTTTATTTTAAAGTGAAACTAGAAAAATGAGTCTAAAATTACTAAAGCAAGTTTGTTCAAATAGCAAGAATCTTTGACCCACTTGGTTTATTGGGTCCCGTGATAGCTAAAGCTAAAATATTTCTTCAGAGACTATGGGTTTTGAAGCTCAATTGGGACGATCATCTACCTAATAAAGAAGCCAAAGAATGGCAACAGGTTTCTCTGAACTACCAAAATATGTAAATTAGAAATTAACAGATGCATTCTTGTCGCAGAAGCAATTGTTATTGAGTTACATGGATTTTGTGATGCCTCCGAGTTAGCTTATGGAGCTGTAGTTTATTGTAAATCCATCTCCCAATACGATGAAGTGGGTGATAAGGCTGGTAACAAAGTAAATCAAAGTTTCTCCTATAAGCAAGTTACTATACCAAGATAGTTCTGCGCAACGTATTTTTGCGTGCGAGTTAATGACCGAGTAAATCTGCTCGAACTTAATGTGAATATGTATTTTTGGAGTGACTCTTCGATAGTTTTGGCTTGGCTGAAAAGGAGCCCTGTTGTATGAAAACTTTTGTGCTAATCGAGTTGCGGGTGGTTCAAGAAATGACGGAGGTGCAACAGTGGCATCACGTCCCATCTAAACAGAACCCTGCGGATCTCAATCAAGAGGTGCTGATCCGTCAAACTAACTGTGTGAACTGTGGTGGAGTGGTCCCCCATTTCTTCTTCAAACCGTGATGACTCTAGTGCCAAGATGATATCCCTAAGGAGTCGAAGAACTGTATCTTCGTGAATTAAACACCAGAAGTAAGTGAAATATGTGCACTTATTAACACTATGAGCCATAGATGTCATCAATAATTGTTCATCTTACAACAATTGCTAAGGTGGTGGCTTGTGCAAGAGATTTTCTTGCATAACACCAGGCATCCATGCATGCTACACGCGGAACGCTTGACAACCAGGGAACTTTCTAGTGCGTTATTGTGTATTGTGAAAAACATTCAAAGGACTCATTTGTGACAGAAATACAGTGCTTAGAAAAGGTTCTCCTATCCTATCGTAGTAAAATTGAATTTGTGTCCATTTTTAGATCATGAGGAGTACTCAGAGTGGTGACAGACTAAAAAAACAGTGACTTAAGTGAAATGAGAAAACATCGTACGATTCTGTGAAAAAACATTTTACACTATAATTGTGATTAATATTTTCATGTTCTTTTATTTTCATGCAGGTGCTGAAACAACCCTATCACTTACAAGGAGTAAAATTTTGGATGTTTCTGCAAGAAATTTAATTAGAAAAATTATATTTAATTGTATGATTTGTAAAAAGGTTAAATTCTAGGTCTGTGCAGCAACAGATGGCTGACTTACCAGCTGCGAGAGTTTTTGCGAAAACAGGTCTCGATTTCTGTGGTCCATTTCTGGTAAAAAATTTCGTAGGTAGAAGTAAACAGGTAAGAAAAGTATTTGTATGTATTTTTGTATGTTTCACTACAAAGGCTTGCACTTGAAATTGTTAATGTTTTTAACAAGTGCCAGCATTTATAGCAGCACTTAAAACGCTTTATTGCCAGGCGAGGTAAACCTCAGATATTTTCAGTGATTAATGGCAGAAATTTTGTGGGTGCTCATAGAGAATTAAGAGCGATTTTAAAATCTTTATTTAAGGATAAAAGTGAGGAAGAAATCAAAGGTTATTTGGCTACTGAAGGCATAAATTGGCATTTTAATCATCCCTTACTCCCCACTTTGGAGGTTTATGGGAAGCCTAGTGTAAAATCCTTAAATATCACTTGAAACGTGTGGTGGGAAAAACAATTCTAACTTATGAATAATTTTTACTCTGATTGTTCAAATTGAATCTGTACTTAATTCCGTCCTCTTCGTCCCAATCAATTTATCAAATGATCCAAATGATGTAGAGGCATTGAACCTCACTTTTTATTGGTTCATCTTTTAATTGCATTGCCTGAACCTAATTTTACAGAGATTCCTATAAAATCGATAACTAGATGGCAAATGGTTCAAAAATTAAATCAAAATTTTTGAAAAAAATGGTCGTTTGAATATTTAACAAACTTTTAAATAGACCTAAATGTATAAAGGAAGTAGAAAGAAGGAAGGAGATTTTAGTATTAGTAAAAGATTCGGATAATTACTCTCCTTAAAGTGGCATTTAGCACGAATTAAAACCCATCCCAGGTCAAGATAATATTATCGAGTGTGAACTTAAAGATAAAAATGGAACCTATAAAGGCCAATCACAAAAATTGTACCTTTGCCTTTTGTTAATGAAAAAGTTTCAGTTACTTAAATTGTATTTCTAGTTAATTATCAAGTTTGAGTTTGTATAATTGTATAACCATCATTATTATTATCTTGGAGTGTTGTGTTTGTATTTTATAACTTGTGTTCGAAATTTATTGTTGAATGTAACATTCAAGGCCGGGCTGGATGTTGATGCCAAAGATGCCATCTGTGAAAAATATGTAATATTTGTGTTCTAAAACCATTATGCTGATGTTTTTATAGCACCACCTTGCGGCCACTTGTATTGAGTTTTGAGTGTGTTCTGAGACGCCGCCGAGAGATGTGAACTAACTATGCGGCTTTTTGAGTAATTAATAAATTTTAGTATACAGTCCATTTTTGAGTTTTTGTGTAAAGTGATTTATTTAATTATGAGTTTTACTGAGCTATTGACGGGCCCAAGTGTAGATAATAAAAATAAATATTTGGGCTTCCAGGTGCCCATGTTCAGGTGGACAATCATGCTATTCAGAATTTGATGGCTCTAGGTCCCATAATTTTTTTCACAATGTGAGAACATACATACATTCATGCAGATTCTTCATTTAATTTCTTCAAAATACAATACAAGGCGATAATATTTGGTGGCAACAATTTAACAAGTGATATGCCATTTGCATTAGTGAACCAATGCAAATGTCGTTTTGAGACTAATAGCCTTTCTGAGCTAACGCTCCTTTGGGCTAAAAGTAACTTTTACCATTAATAATTACAGTAACTGCTTGAAAGGGTAACCACCATCATATATAACAATGAAGGAGAAAGACTGAGAGACTTTCTTGTATACACCAAACATCCTGTATGCAACTGCAACACCAACCCATATTCTGGCAGAGTTCCTCATCAAACTCAATAAAGTCTCACAGATGAGGCTCATGAGATGTACCACAAAAAAAAAAAAAAAAAAAAAAAAAAAAAAAAGGATTCAGCAGATCAGCGATTAAAGAAAAATCTTACATTTTTTGTATTTGCAAAACTGCTACTTGTAGGTAATTAAGTCTTCTTTGAACCTTTACATTTAATTCTTAAATGTGTATTCTACGGGAAAAAATATTTCAGTATATTCTGCCACCTTTTTTAAGATTGTTCTATTTTTTTAATATATCCTGTATTTTATTTCAAAGCATAATAATTAAAAAAAAAGCTTGCACAAAACATGTAATATTGACATTATTTCATATGTCAGTTTAATTTACAGCTGTTATCAAAATTAAAGGATAATGACAGAAATAAAATGTAACTGATACTTAATGATTGTTTGCAAAATTGTGAAATTAAAATCAAACTTATGAAAATTGAAATGATGGAAAAATTAAATCACTTATTGTGGAAAATGTTTTTAATTAATATAGTGTACGATCATCTCAGACAGATACGCATACCTCACATCTTGATTTCATCGACTTTACGAAAACATTGATCAAGTCAATTGATGAGGCTGACCACTATCATACATTAGCAAACATTCTGGGCCAACAGCATCCCTAAACAGTCTAACTTAAAGTTCTAATACGTCATCTACATGTCTCTGAGTGGTTACAGATCCTCCTTGAAAAGATATGCAGCTCAGTGCGGCCATTTGTCATGATTTCTTCCCAAACCATTAAACCATGATTGCAGTAATGAGATATTCCATGGACAAGAGAAGGCGAGTTGCATGTTTCTTCCTCTTTCCAGATTAGAATATGTCTAAAATCGCTGTTCAGACTATATCTGGATTTGTCAGTAAACAATACTTGGGCCCAGTCATCTTAACTGCATTGAACATGATGACGCCACCAGTTTAAATGGGCCCCTCTGGAAGATGGAATGAGTGGAACTCAAAACATTGGTTTTCTTACATACAGTCCAAGCTCGTTAAGCCTCTGCACAGCAGTAGAAAGGCTAATTTGAGTTCCTGTGGCAGTCTGAAGGTCTAAAACCAAATTTCTTGTAGTTGCTTCATGGTTTCTTCGAGCCAACAATGACAGAAAACAAGTTTCTGACACAGTTGTTGCTTTTGATCACCCTTGATCAAGTTGTCTATCAACTGATCCAGTGCTTTAAAAATAGGCACCAGACTCTTGACATGACACTTTGAGGGATATTCAAATCTTGGGCGACCCCCATTTGTGTTTTATCTACCTCGATTCTACCAATTATCTGCCACTTTTGACCTTCACTTAAATGAGGCTTTTGAGCTATAACTACTGAATACTGATCATTCTCAGTAACCACATTCACTTTAAACAACACTACAGACCGGAATTCCAACATGCATCCATTGTGCATCACACTGTCAAACACCAAATTTGCATATTTATGATGCTAATATATGCACAAAAGTGCAAATTTGTATTCAATTGAATTTAATTAACATAACTAATTACAGCTCTGGGCATTGGTTGCAACATTAACCTAGTGAGCATATTTTTTCTCACTATCCTTTAATTTTGATAACCAGTGTATATATTGATATGAAGCAAAAAACAAAAACTAACACAAAGTTTTTTAATTTCATTTTATAAAACACTAAATGAAAGAAACTGATTAATTACCTTGTAGTCTTCTTCAAAAGATTTTAAATTCATGACTTGCTTTTCAAGCTCTTCAATTTTTCCAGATAACTGAACTAATTCTTCAGCCATTGATTCTTTTAATTTTTCTAATTTGGAAATTTCACACTGCAACAAAAATAATTTAAATGCATTTCTTGAAGCTAATCTAACAGCATTAAATTTCATGAAAGGTCTAATTTATAGAATTATATAAAAAATTTGCACAGCTAGAAAAATATTTTTAATCTTCACACATATATAACAAAATACAAATATAGTTTGAAGATCATATTTAATAACAGATATGCCCTTAAAGTGATGAAATTGTATTTTGAGATTTATTTACAGAATCACTTGAATGAAACAAAATGTGAAGAAATAACATTTTTTACTGAAACATAAAAACTCCTTCAAGTTAATGTGACAGATTAACTTGTCCTCATAATTTCAAAATCGTTATGGAATAATAAAATCAAAGCTGTTAAATGTAATTAACAGTAATTTCAGCCTTTAAGAAAATAATACTAAGAGATAATGAAACTACTGCAGTCAAGTGTCAGCAACATAAGTAGTTGCCAAGGACACAATCAAGAATCTCCCACCTCCAAGAAAGTGAAAATAATAAATACAAATTTTTCTCAGTCTGATATTTTTAATACTTTTCTGTCTGAGTGTCACTTGGGTTCAGCTTCTGACATTCTTGAGTTACAGCACTTTTTATCACTTTTTTTTTTTTTCTTTTCTCCTCAGATACCGACCGTTTAATTAAAGAAATATATAGATGACAACACTCAACCAAAGTTGAGCTAGAATCAGCATTTTACTGTTTGTTTCTGACACTGTGTTCTGACAGCAATTGTGTTTGACTGATCAAGATAAAAGTGTACGGAAAGTAGTAAAAGTAAGGAATGCCTGCTGAGGTAATTAGAGTGAATTACTGATACTGCTGTTGTTCATGAAATGAGCGACTGCATTTTAAAAATTTACTCATGTTTCATGCACATTTTCAGTGGTATATATTAAAACAGCATCATCCTACTTGCAACTTTTGAAACTATTTCTTAAGGAATCTTTTTTTCCTATATTGTCATTAGTCCCCCTACCTAATTTGGTGGCATTCCAGCTAATAGATCAAGCTACAGATGCCTCCAAAACGAGTCAGTTAAAAAAAAAAAAAATAAATAAAAATAAAAAAAAACAGGCCACCTCTCTTTTTTAGCTTAAGAGCCACTGGTGTTTAATGAATAGATTTCTAAAGGCAGTGTGAGGATGTTATCGAACATATAAAACAAACAAAAAAGATAGATTCACCTCAATTAGATTCTTCATTTTCAGCAGAAACCGAGAAATGCAGGAGGTGCACAACTCCCTAATTAACTTAGAAGGCCTTTTAACCAAAGAAGATATAGGCCAGAAGCTAGGTAAAAAAAAATTCACAATCAATTCTTAGGGCTTCCTAATATTGTTACTAAGGAAAATTCTAGGATAGCTCACTTAGCAAGACAGGTTGAACAGACACAGAATTTAGAGGATTTAGTACAGGGTTTGTTAGTTAAAGAAAGTAGGACTTGCAAAAACATAGAGAGAACAAGATCGGTAGCAGACAGAGATCCAGATTGAGATGACCACAGTCAAGAGGAAAGGAAGTGGTTCAAGAATATGTCCTATTGGTTTATCCCAAGAGCTCAAGGAGAAACTGGTCAAATAAATCCAATAGTCCAAATTAAAGATAAGGGTAAAAAATGTTAAAAAGATTAGCAAAGGAGGACTTCTGATCGAGATAACGAAGAAAGATTAATTAGCAATCCTGGAAAAGGTGATCAAAGAGAGAGTAAGAAACTAAAAGGACACCAAATATCCCCAAAAGTGCAGTCCGAGAATGATACTGTACAATGTCAACAAAGATATAAACCAAAATAATCTCAAACATCTGCTAGACTTAAAACAAAAAGGGCTAGAAGATGCAGAAATGGAAATGCACTTTATCATCAATGCATGCTATGGTCAGCAGTGGACCCAGCCATCTTTAAGTACTTAAATCTAAGAAAGTCAACATCCAATGTACAAAAATCAACATCAAGGAATTTCTAAAAATCTCACAATGTGTCAAGTGCCTGGGATTTAACCACAGAGGCAAAAATTACAGACAATAGCAGAAATCATTAGCTACCACTTCCTGCAGGATAATCCCTCAGAAGTTGGTGCAGTGTATGTGCAAACTAGAATAGAAGCAGAATTCCCACCAGAAACTGAAGATGGCATCCTTTTTACGATCCAGGAAGTGAGAAATGAAACAGCCTCAGCTAAAAAAGGGAAGGCCTCCGGCCTAGACACCCTCACGATCGAGACAGTAGGTGAACTTCGCTTAGCCAACGAGGATAAATTCTTAACTCTCTTATACAGCTGTCTTAACACGTTGACACTGGCCTGACCCATCAGTGGGTCATACTTGTCTGTTCCGTAGTGTGGCCTGACTCACCGGTACGTCATACTTTCTCTGTTCTGTGGGATGGCATGACCCACCGGTGGGTCATGTTTGATTGTTCCACGGGCCAGCATGACTCACCGATGGGTCACGCTTGTATATAAAAAAAATACTAAAATAAACTTGTATATCCGAAATTCAATTATTATATTATAAAATATATAATTTTACAATATAATAAATTAATTTAATAATTTTAACGTTATAATTCTTTAATTTTATAATTTGGCACTGCGCCACCGAACAAATTCCCCGCTAATTCAAGCGTTATTGCACGAAACGAACAATTATAAGGAATTATCCACACCGCATTATCAGTGTATTAAATATAGTTACTTCCCGACAGCATGGAAGAATGTAGAGTTAGTGCTGTTCCACAAAAAAGAGAAGGATGATAAGTCAAAACCCAGCTCATACTGCCCTTTTGCTTACTATTGACTTGACAGAAACTACTAAATAAACTCGTGATGCAAACCTAACACACCACCTGGAAAAGAATGGTCTTTAAAGTAACAGCCAATATAGCTTCAGGAAAGGATGAAGTACAATAGACACCCTTAATAGTCTGCAATACATAAAACTCAAAAATAAAGAATAGAAACTGCATATGTGTGTCATATCTTTAGATATAGCATCTGTGTTTAATCAGTTTCAGTGGCCAGTTGTTACCATATGGGTCACAAAGTTACCTACAGAAGAAACAGTGTCAACATCATGAAGACATACTTCAAAGGAGCACCTCAGAGGTTTAACATCAGCCCAGTGCTATGGAACATTATTGTCGACACAGCTTTACATTTGGATTTTCAGGGTATGGCACGAAATCAGGCTTACACTGATGACTTCATTCTAATTATAAAAGGAGGCAACAGAAGCATAATAGAAAGACAGGGGGCTCACACCTTAGAGATCCTTATGAAGCAGAGTGAAGATTGTAAGTTAAAGTTTAGAATACAGAAAATGAAAATTGTATGTTCTCAAAAGGGACCAAAATAGGTTCGAACACCCCAAGGATTAAGTGGCAAAACATCCCACTCATGAAGCAAGATATGCTAAGATACCTCGACAAAAAGCTCACCTGGATACCCCACCTCTCTGAAATAAGAGACAAATAAAATAATTAATAGCTTAAATTGAATGGTCAATGCCCAATGGGACGATTAACCAAGGAACTTTACCTGAGGGCTATAGAAAGAATAGTACTTGATAGCAGCACAGTCTGGATGACAGATATGGCAAGAGCTTGTGAAAAACTTTTACAAATCCAAAGGATAGCACTTTCGACAGCTTTTACGACCAAGTCTACAGCTACCCTGCAAATATTAGCAGGAACAATACTACTAGACTTGAAAGCACTTTTATGACAAACTATAGATTCTTCCATTATAAGCAACATGCAAGGATCAGAGGATGTACCATCATAAATAGTGACAATATTGAGATCAAGGCCAAAGAAACAAACTGCCACTTGTCACTAGTGATCAATGTTAAATGGACAAACAAAGACATGAAGAGACAGATTACAACATATACACAGATGAGTCAAAGATGAAAGAGAAGGTAGGAGCTGCTTTCATAACTTCTAAAGACAATGTAGAAGTCTACCACGAAAATTATCATCTGAGCAACCATGCCACATTTTTTCAAGCTGAGTCATATGCTCTAAGAGCAGCAGCCCTAAAACCTCAATTAGCTCTCACACAGGGAGCATCAGTGTACTGCAGGCTTTAAAAGAGCAAAAAGGACAATACACCGCAAAATGCTCTAGCTGATACACTTCTACCTCCTGATAATACTCCCACGATGTTAGCAGGGGACTTCAACGCGAAAAGTACAGCGTTGAACTGCCGGAGGGAAAACCCCAATGGCAATATTCTTCAAAATTATCTCATCAATCATCCGGTTGCGTTATACGCACCTGATGAATATACTTATCGACCGGCTAACATAACAAAATTGGATATTCTTGACTTAGCTATTACAACTACTTCCATCCCCATTACTCTAGATGTCGCACATGAATTGTCTTCAGATCACCTCCTGGTGATAGCAACACTTAGAGTTATCAAAAAAGACTCTTCATGCACTTGCAAAATTACGAACTGGATTACTCATGAAAATATCATGCAAGAAACAAAAATTGAGATGCAATATTTAAATAGCACGAATAACATTGACTGCACTGTCTCCTCCCTTACTGAAATTATTCAGAATGCGGTTGAGCAAGCGAGCAATACAATTCAGAAATTAGATAAAATCTTTCAATTTCCAAGTGAAATTCGACGGATAATGTGAGAGCGCAACCACCTCTGCAAAGCTTATCATCTCTCGTGGGATTCTGTTGCCAAACGAGAGATAAACCGCCTAAACAAGAGCATCAGAAAAGCAGTAAAATAACACAGCAATGACTTGTGGAGTGATAAAATCTCCCAAATTAACATCCAAGCCGGGTCGCTTTGGACTCTTATTAAAAATCTTCAGTCGAACTATGTTTCCAATCGCCCATTATTTTATAACGATGTTGTTGCTACCGCAAATCAAGAAAAAGCAGATATCTTTGCAACTCACTTGGCGACACAATTCGCACCAAATGAATGGCCGGTTAATAATGATTTCGAGATCTCGACTCTGTTAAGCTTAA